GAGGGATGATTATGTCTAAAGATAAAATGTCATTTGTCTCACATGCTTCTACATTTTTACACTCCTCTTTTACATGGTACTCATGCACCAAGAATAAAACTGGAATTGCACTTTACTTAGAAGCATGTTAGCCAATAGGACCCTCAGATCATCTCTTCTTACTTTGTAGCTTCTTTCATTTCCTTTAATTTCCTTACCTTTCATGAGAAATGATGCCAGGTGATTTTTTTTTTTTTTTTTCCAACCCTCATTTTTCAGGGAAGACTTGTGCTGACAAAAAGATGGGCCATATATTGTGGTAGAGAACGCGTGGAGGGGCTCTTAATTCTTAACAGGAAATTCAGCAGCTCTTGGCACTTTGCTAGCTTTTGTTGGCTAAAATATGCTCACTGCACATATCATCCTGTGACTGCATCATTTGGAAATAGGTCAGTTTGCCAAGTAGATAATGATTCTTAATCTCTGACTGCTGTGCTAACTTTCTGAAAGTTAAGTTTGTAAGCTGAATTTTGGCTTTGATTCTATATATACTCAGAAGCTGCTGTTAAACTCCGCATGTGGTGTCACGATGGTGTTGAAAAGCAGTTGAAGAACTTACTCAAACAGTAAAGGGTAATGACAACATCATCTTCTCAAAGGGCTTGACTAAATGTTTTATTTTTTATTCATGTCTTTAGTCAACTTTCAAAGTGACCTTTATGTTATAAACATATTCTTAAAGGAGCTTTTCTGCCTAGGGTACTGACAAAGAGATGATGTATTGTATGATTTAGTGCTTGCAGTGTACTTAGACAAGTGCAAACAGACATATATGTTTGAAAGAAAACAGTGAATAAGCTCCCATGAAGAATGGAAATTCTGCAATGCTCCTCAAGATCAGTGCAAGATAATTAGAGATTTGATTAAGATGAGTTAAAGCTGAGAGGTGCAGTTGGTACCACTGAGTGAGTTTAGTTATTGGCATTTACAGTAGAGTTAATCCAGAAAGCTGCTCTTTGGGTACATTTCTAGCATCAATCGCGTGTTCTTGATCAATCTGCATGTAAAATTTGCCCTTTGCCTGTTGGCTCTTGTAACAAAAAGGGTAGTGATTTTGCTTTTATCACAGCAGACTCCATTGCAGTCATCATCACCTGATTGTGTAATCTCAAATAAAACAGAATAATTTGCTGGGTCCTGAGTCCTTAGAATAGCATCCAGAGTTCTGGGCTGTTTAAGCTGCTGTTAAACCCTGCAATCACCTTTTAACACTTTATTTAATGGTTGTTGTCTCCCTGTTTGACCTCCTTATTCCAGTGAGGCAGAATTATGATAGAACAGTCACTGTTTCTTAAGTTTCTAGAAAGCAGGTTTTCCCCATGAGGCAGTCAATTTGGAGTCAAGAGTCTCAACAAGATGTTTTGTGAAAGGAAGTAAGTTGCACTTTTCAACATTTCCATCAGGAAAGGTGGTGGAAGAGCAAGCCATTTTAAAGACTGACACATTAACTCTTAGCAGAGGAAATGGTTTGACAATTGCTGTGCTGAGCATATATTGCTTGGCAGCATTGGAACATAGGTTTCTCTGGGCAGGCTGTTCTGTGCTAAGCATTGTAATTGAAAACCTCATTTTATCGGCAGTGACAGTCTGGAAAAATTCACTCTTGATTCAGTCCTCTATTTAGAGACAATCTCCCCAGCTTTCTTCTTGAAAATGAATTGTTGTACTGGATCCCCAAGATTACGTAGCAGCTGTTTCCAGGGCAGCAGTCACAGGTCATGAAGTAAGAGATTCTTCTTCTGGATT